TTTTTTTGAGGAAGATTAGCCCTGAGCTAACATCTGCTGCCAATCCTCCTCTTTTTGCTGAGGAAGACTGGCTCTGAGCCAACATCCATGCCCATCTTCCTCTACTTTATACATGGGATGCCTGCCATAGCATGGCTTGATGAGTGGTGCCGTGTCCACACCGGGGATCTGAACCAGTGAACCCTGGGCTGCAGAAGTGGAATGTGCAAACTTAACTGCCGCTCCACCAGGCTGGCCCCTCAGTTGAACCTTGTTCGAGTCTTGTGAGAGAGCCTGGGCCAACGCTGTGATTGTAGCTGGCGAGAGACCTTGTGAAGTGGAAGATTCAGCTAAGATGGACCTGGATTTCTAACCCACAGAAACTGAGATCATAAATGTGCCTTGTTTTAGATCACTGAGTTTTGGGATACAGTCGATCTTCATTATTCAAAGGATTGCACACTTGCAAATTCGCCTACCCACTAAAATTTATTTGTAATCCCCAAATCAATACTCACAGCACTTTCACGGTCATTTATGGACATGCATAGAGTGGCAAAAAATTTGAGTTGCCTGGTGTTGGATGCTCCCAGCTGAGGCTGAACAAGGCAAGATGCTGCCTTCTTGTTTCAGCTCTGTAAACAAGTGTCCTTTTCATTACTTAATGCCACATTTTTTACATTTTTGTGATATTTGTTGGTGGTTTCACTGTTGGTGGGCGCCAAGGGGCCAGCCCAGTGGCGCAGCGGTTAAGTTCACACGTTCCACTTTGGTGGCCCGGGGTTCGCCAGTTCAGACCTGGGTGTGGACATGGCACTGCTTGGCAAGCCATGCTGTGGTAGGTGTCCCACATAGTAAGTAGAGGAAGATGGGAATGGATGTTAGCTCAGGGTCAGTCTTCCTCAGAAAAAAGAAGAAGATTGGCAGCAGATGTTAACTCAGGGCTAATCTTCCTTAAAAAAACAAAACGGTCCCCAAGCATAGAGCTGAAGTGCTGTTTAGTGTTCCTAAGCCCAAGAAGGCTGTGACGTGCCTAATGGAGAAAATTTCTGTATTAGGTAAACTTCATTCAGGCATGAGTTATACTCAGGCTGTTGGCTGTGAATTCAATGTTAATGAACCAACAATATATGAAATCAAGTGTATTTAAACAGAAACACATATAAAACAAAGTTGTGTATTGATCAGTTGATGAAAATGTTGTGACCAGAGGCTTTGCAGGAACCTAATCCTGTATTTCCCCTAGGAGCAACAGTTCCGTACGAGCTAATTCAGTGTAATCGGTGACTTTATCGGACATAATCACCTCGAATAATGAGACTTGACTGTAGTTTGTTATGTAGCAACAGATAACGAGCACAAGGGGAAAACAGCATAATTCAGTTCACCAGTCTAACCAGGAGGACTTTCACGAGGAGGGCACGATGCAGTGTCAAGAGTGCAGGTCTCCCACCAGGGGTGAGGCTAGAGGCATACTGGATGGCAGCTATTGGTGTTCACCATCTAACATTCATTAAAATGTTGAAATCATTTACATGTTGAAAGAAATAACTTTGCCTGGCTACAGAGAGTAATTTTGGATGGATGTGAGTGAAACTCTCTGGGAAAATTAACTTCATGACAATCTCCTCACTCTCTAAGGCGCACAGCTGTGTGAGGATTGATGCGTCAAAGGCACCAGCTTAATTAAAAGCTCTGTGACAGCAGGGTGACGCAGCCTAGGGCAACCTTCTGGCAGCAGCAGCACACCGATGCTGCCAACGTAGGGAAATGGGACAACCACAGGAGAAGCCGTGGAAGGAAACAGCCCCTTAGGGACCACGAGGACCTTAACACAGCTTTTCTCTGACCGATGGCTGAAAGTTCAAGGTATCTCCATTTTATTGACTTTTAACTTTAGCCTGTAAAATGCTCTTTTCTACTTTTTTATTTAGACTCTCAGCTTCATCCTGGATCCCCACTCGCTCTCATGAGTGGGCTAAGTCCTTAAATATGCATGGATTTTGTATACTACGTAGCATTGCTTTGGGTGTGTGCATAGGTTTAGAATTTACATAAATGGCACTCTGCTATAAATAGAGTTCTTTCTTACTTTTTCCACTGCACCCTATGATTTAAGTTTTGCTCTATGAACGTGTAATTTGTAGCTTCTAACAGCAGCGTAATATACCGTGTTTTGGTGTGCATCCACCACATTTTACCCATCCTTGCCCCTTGTGCTGTATGCTTAGCGTGTCTCCAATTCTTACCACCCCAGTTAGGTAAAGGGAGCAGAATGAAGACAACAGTCCACGTTGGAGTGTCATGCTGTTCATTTGCCTGTAATTACTTCTCAGTCTTTTCCTGTCCTTCTTCCCTTCACTGGGGAGAGTACAACGTCCACCAGAACTCATTCCTAGATCATGAGAAAGTGCAATGTCTCACTTTTTGCAGAGCAACTTCTCATCTGGTTACTCTGACAACTTTCCGAGAGGCAGAGGTACAGATTTGTTTACTGGGCTTAGAGAAAAAAAGCAAAGAGAGCACAGTGGTAATTTTCAGTTCTGATTTTGCCTGAAGTTTGTAAAAGTGAAAAAAACCCAATGATTAAAATGCTACTTAATTTAAAAATAAATACAGGCCATGAAAAGGTGAGGGGCAGAGAAAGGAGAAGTTGACAAAATCAAGTAACTACGAATCATGGAGATGCTTCCAAAGCGAGCAGCTGCTGACCCAGAGGGAAAACAGCACATTTTGAAAGCTTAGGTCCCTGAGGCTTGAGAGGTAAAAATGAAAAGGGAATAAAGTTGAGGTGATAAGAAAGCCAAAACTGATACTGTCCTCAAGCCAGACTGATACCCAGATAAGATTGCAGCGAAGTGGAGCTAGAGAAAGATTCTTGCTGACTCAAAGAAAGAAAGACACAATGAGTGGAATTAATTTTTATTTCTGAATTATACATAGAGGCTATACATATATATATATATATATACACACACACATACATATATATATATATATATATATAGCGTTGTTACATATTTTTATATTATGAATCCACACTATTTAGGGAGAATTTTATTTATCTATTTACCAAAACAAAGTCTAATAGATACTTTATTCTGAGCAGTCCAATACATGGTAGAAAATCCTTTAAATATATAAAAGATTAATTTGTGCACATCTAATTGTTTCTAAGGGAGCAAACTACTGAGGCATTGTGATATATGAGCGTTACGAACATAGTACCACAACTGAACACTTAAAATGAGTTCTTAATAACACAAAGGCTTGCGTAGTGCCTTCCTCACGCGCCTCGGAGTACGTCTTAGAAGAGAACCCCATAAAAGAGTGTATGGCTTCAACAGGAACTTTAGAGCTTTCTTTCACACCCGGCTATTGCTCTTAAATACACTTTCCCACTCCTTGATAGTATCTTCTGTGCAGATTTCTGTTCTTTCTCTTAATCAAGGAACTATGTAAAGAGCAGTTGCCACTTTGGGAAAACAATACTTTTGCCACAATGACCCCTTGGTTCCCTTAACTACAAATCTACAGGAAAAGTGCAAAACAGTTCCCAGAAGTCAGGAGCACAGCAAGAATGCTCAGAATGCAGGAGCTGGATAGCTAATGATGTGAATGTTTACCTCTGTCTACCTATCTGCTTAGGGATTATTTTTGCAGGATTCTTCTAGGATTCTATTTACTTGGATTGAGTTTACACAATGGCTTTTCTCTAGCACGTGCAATTAAATTAATCTTTTTAAGATAACAAAATAGCAGATGCCTAACTATCAGCTCAGTGAACAGCCCAAACAAAATCATCTACTGGAAAAGGTTCTCGTAATTTCCATGTAGGAAGATGAAGTTTCAGACAGAATACCACCTGAGTAGTCTTCCATGGACAGACTGGACAAGCTCAAAGAGAACGCGAATGGTGAGACTGTTGTCGTGTCTGAGTGACTAGAACAAGAGCCGTCCACCAACAGCTCTATATCCTCAGGCTGGCACCACTAAGCTGAACACTGGATTCTTCATTACTTCTTGTGGCCTAAGAGACCACATAACTCATCTTCCAAAATGGGACACAACTGAGTGAAAGGGAGCACTATTAATAATTATGCCAGGGCAACAGTGGGAAATGGGTGAATGACACTGTACTTCTGGCGACACTAAGTTCTGGGAGAGGCATCATTTGCGCTTCCAAAGGTGGAGCTGGGCTGTGAGAGAGGGCGTGCTCTAGGGTTTTCTATCAGACAAGCCAGATATCACGAGGGAGGAGACCAAAAAGAACAATTGAACAGGATACCAAGTTGAAAGGGACCAAGAGGGGAACATAGGTAGCTATGGCTTACGGAGGAAAGAGCTGACCTGTATGTCTGTGAGCATGTCTGGAAGGTGGGTGGGAGACGGACATGAAGCAAACGAGGTCAGTGAAATTCAGTCACGTGTGCAAAGACATCTACTTCAAAGCATTTCAAGGCTAATGATACCCAGGGCTCAAAGCGTTCCGGACAGCTCTCCTGGATGTCATTACCACCCTGAGAGTATGGTGGAACCCTGTTCTCCACGACATTTTTATTTTTGCTATCTTATTTGTAATAGGTGATACTGGAAACTAGGACTGGTGGCCAGTGCAAGGTCAGCACCTCAGCAACACCTGTAAACAGTCAAAGAGGAGCTTCTAAGAAGGCCCCGCTTTGGGGCCTGAGCCGCAAAACACAGCCTGAGCCATGCATTTGTGGCTAGGACTCCTTGTCTTTCCCAGCAGGCCATGCAGTTGACTGATGGTGGATGTCAACATTTTCTTTTTTATGAATAAATTAGTTTGCAGCCTTACTTGTCCATTCCGTTAGAGAAACTAATATCCACACACAAACAGGGGCGGGGGAGGATGGACATATTAGAGTAGGGCTCAGCAAACTTTTTCTGTAAAGATAGGCAATGTTTTAGGCTTTCTGGGCCGCGTGGTTTGTCTCAGCTACTCAGCCCTGCAGTCGTAGTGCAAAAGCAACCAGGGAAAGTTTGTAAAGAAATCTGCGTTTCAATAAAACACAATATAACTTTATTTGTGGAAACTGAAATTTGAATAATTTCCATGTGTCATGGAGTATTTTCAAACTTTTTTTTTCAACTCAAAGTGTGGAAACTATTCTTAACTTGCGGGCCACAGGAAAACAGGTGGTATGCTAGATTTGGCTATAGTTTGCCGATCCCACTGCTAGAAGCCCACAGATTCGAAATCACATTGGTATTTTAAAGGGATATGAAGATTATGAAGGAATATTTTGTAAATGATAATATATAATCATTCAATTTAAAACTGTGATCAGATTAGAATGTTTTAAAGCAGATTCCTTTTTATAATACATGTGAGAGAGCCATTCAGATAACTGAATGTTACCCAATAATGAATTTCTAAGTGCGCCACCTTACACTTGAGTCCTTAGCCTGTAAAGCATAACATCTTGCCCTAAGTTTACGGCCTGAAGCACAGACAGCTATCAAAAATGCAAACATTGATCCTCAAGTTTCTCAAGGTGGAGGTCTTCGACATTCATTGGAAAAACAATTTTTTAAAAGACCAATTCACTGAAAACATGATGCCCAATTTGATAGTTAAAATAAAGCTGATGTGAATTACAAAGCCTGACTTCCCTTTGAGAAGTTAGACGATTCACGTGGACAAGGACCAAGTGGGCACTCACTTGATGTTGGTTTCACACACGTGTCTGGTTTACTGGTTTACGGCTGTGTTAAGCAAGCTTAGAATTTTAAAGGTGGAGTTACATGGGGACATCTCTCCCAGGGAGAGTTGAGCCCTGTGTACTTTAAACCTAAAACGATCACCAAGGAGAAATCCAGCTAATCTATGGAAACAAATCCACTCCCAATTAACAGTGGATTGAAGGTATCTCATTGGTGTGTACCAGTCTAAGAGATGAAATACCACTGCACCAAGGGTTAACAAAATATCGAAAGGGAGGGGACTACTTTCCTGCTAAGTTTCAACTAAAATCTTTGAGGCACATAATTGGCAAAATAGGAAAATACACACAATTTCATAAAACATGTTAAGAGCAAACAAATTCTCTTACTGATTTTCCCCTTAGAAATTTAGATTGGCACCAGGTAGTGCAAAGCGGAAAAAAGGACCATCAGCTCTGTCTCTTCCAGGTAGACATGTTTCAACAGAACCACGAAGCAGAAAAGCATCCTCTTCTTCCAGCCACGGCCACCTATGACTTTTCTTTCAGCTTCAGGTCAATACTTTGAAAAAAAGGGAAGAAAAAAGATGAGAAACATGAGAAACTGTAAGAAACATTTAGTAATGACTTGGGGTGGCATGTGTTTGTCTTTTTCCCCAAAGGACTCACTGAAAATAAATCATGCAAGTTTCTTACACCAGGAAAATCTGCTGAAACACAATCCTCCCCTAGTCGCCAAGGCTTTCTCTAAAATATGGAATCGGTTATTTTTACACAACTGTTTCTGGAAGCATTTTACGCCTTTCAAAATGATCTAGAGAAACAAAAGACTCTTGTACAGGCTCATTCGTAAACTAGATCAAGACAAGGAACATGATTGCATTTTGGAAATGAGATCTACCTAGTTTTAGTAAATGACCTTTCCTCGTGGGGCAAATAAATGATCTGCCTGAAATAAGCAACATCTGACAAGTGCTGAATAGTAAGAAAGTGGTAAAGAACAATACAGCAATGTCAAAAACAAAACAAAACAAAAACGCAAAACCCCCCCAATATTTTCCAGAGCCAAAGGATTTGCCTGAAAGGGTTTAGCCTACTTTAAGGAGATGGATTCTTATAACCTAAGATAAGCTTGTTTTTAAGAATATCTAGTGGGTTCCCAAATATCTAGGGAATAAGTCTAAAATGTCCTGGGGCCACTTGGGTCTCTCTTCCGTCTCTTAGCAAACATGTCACAACTTCCTGGCACCTCCAGAGAAGAAGAGAACTACAGCCAGTGAACCCTCAGAGTAAGAATTTCAGCCATGAAAAAAAGAAAAACATTTTGTTTGAAAAGGGCAATTTGGGAAGTGCCTGCGGATTTTGCTCAGATCTGCCCTCCGGAGCCAGACGTCTGTGTGTTGCAAAGGTTACGGAGCTCTGCTGGTGGAATCTGCAGCCGCTGAGCAGTTCACTGTAGGAGCTTTGCAAATAAAGCCATTGGTAACCCACCCGGCCTGCCCTTCCAGTTTATAGTAGTAAAGTATCTTTCCTTTGAAATACCCTCAGCAATTCCACCACTTATGAGTTCCGGGGCCTTGGGCAAATTACCTACCTTCTCTACGTTTCCATTTCTGTACTGTAGCATAGAACAATCATCTCCCTCTCAGGCTTGCTAACGATTAAGTCAAAAGTGCTTTCACTTGTATACAGTGAACACACAGTGAACGTTTATTATTAGCAGTAGTAGTAGCAGTAGCTTGGTGTCTTTTTAAAAGAGAAATCATCTTTCTGCTTAATTACTCTCCTTGTAATGGTCTTGTCTCCTTTGGGAGTTTTCAGACCCAGCCATGCTGACTGTCAGGAGAGGCCAGGTCGTCATGGATATTAATCTCTTTTTTATGCCCTCAAGGATCTGACTTGTTTTCTTATCTGCAGTTTTACCACAGAGAGGTCTTTTCTTTTTTGTCCTCTCTGACCTCTAGATCTTTTTCTAATATGCTTTTACAAAACAGGTCCTTCTTGATCTTGTTCTTGCTTCTAAAATGTGCTTCCCAGCTGCAGTTATTTCCAAAAGTCTGCATTAAGTTTGATCTGATGACTGCGATTTTATTCTTTCTCATTCTTTCAACATGGCGTTGGCTCCGTTTCTCTCACAGACCAAGAGAATATTTATTAAACCAAACTTTGGGGCACATTGTCTGAAAAGTGTGAATGTGGGTCAGAATATTTGAAATCATCTCGAAGAGGGTAAAGCACACCATCTCTTCATTTCTCCGTGTAGGGCCCCTCATAAAAATCTGAAAAAACATTTATGCTAGGATGTCTATCTCAAAAGCCTTCACTTTTCATACTGACTTTTTGGTAAAACTTCTAGGGTTTAATTCACCCCTTCAGCTTTTGAGAAACAAAAAGACTGTAACATATTTACGCAGTTTACGGAAGAAGCAAGAGATAGTCAAAAGGTGGATGATTTTTAAATAAATACAGGAAACCACACTGAAGATTAATTTTTTTTTAAATTTTTTTTTTTTTAAAGATTGGCACCTGAGCTAACAACTGTTGCCAATCTTTTTTTTTTTTTTTTCTGCTTTATCTTCCCAACCTCCCCTACATAGTTATATATCTTAGTTGCAGGTCCTTCTTAGTTGTGGGATATGGGACACCACCTCAACGTGGCCTGACGAGCGGTGCCATGTCCGCGCCCAGGATCCGAACCCTGGGCCGCCGCAGTAGAGCACGTGAACTTAACCACTCGGCCACGGAGCTGGCCCCTGAAGATTAATTTTTGAGACAAGTTATCTTGTGGAACCAATGAAACTACTGACAACGCTGCTAACTCAGGTCTCCCCACACAGAACCACATCCCCCTGATCATAGATGCTTCTTGTGTATGTAAAAATATAAAAAGCATGTTGCAAGTTTTAGGACATGAATGAATGAATAAAATCCACATCTAAAAGTGAAGGAGACAAGTTCCCAGGGCTTCTGTTAAAAATAGTATGCTTTCGGGAAAAGATTTAGTTTTAATCAGAATTGAAATATGAAAGTATTCCTCACTTTTGAGCAAAGGGGCTTAGCTTTCTAAAACCAACTTTGCAGTGAGACATAGCAACCTTCTGGTAATTTTACTATATGCCATTTTGACATCCAACACATATTAAGTGAGGCTCCTTACAAAGCGTCTGACAATACTGTTTAACGATGAATAAAAACTCTTGTTTTAGGTAGGAAGATGGGGGAGGTGGGAATAATCTTCCTTTCTCTCTCTTTGAGGAAAATGACAGGCCACTGTCATACTAGCACACATTTCATTTTATTCTTGGCCTGACTGAGCTCCTCGGAAAAGCCTTAGCCCATTTTGCAGTCTCTCTATCCAATACCAGAAGGTATAAAATGCTTCCACACAAAAACCAGAAGGTAAATGAAGCCCCCTATTCTAATACTAAAGAAAGCCAGAAATCCAGGGTTGGAAGTCAGCAGAAAAAATTCTTGGTCAATCTTGCCCCTCATCCCGGATCTCATGCTCCGCTCTGTGCTCCTGACGTGGGTTTAGGGCTTAGGAAAGAGGACCGAAGAAAAGGGAAGCATGGGGAAGAATATGTTCTCAGAAAGGGGGAGTAACTGTAAATTTGTAGCTCCCTCCCTCCCCTACGCCCAGCCCTGGAATGAACCCAGACAAGAAGCAGAGTTTCACACCCTCCCCAATCCAGACAGCCCGATATACAAATGAGGAGGGAAACAGACAAGGCAGAGCAAGGAGTGGGTAAGCCCCGAGATGTAGCAGCAGTGGGCCAATGAGTGACATTCTGTCCACGCAGCTCGTTAACTGCGGGCCCAGGACTCTGCTCTAGGGGGCGCTGTTTTGTTGAAGGAGGGAAGATTTGCAAAATGAATTAAGGTGGACTGAGGGACTCTCATATTCTTGCTTTGTGTGGCAATCCGCTCAGAGCAATTGTTGTCTTCATCTCAAAGACGTGGACTTTTCAGAAAAGTACCTGCATGATTTCAAAGATTCCTAACAGCTTTCTGTTCTTTATGTACTCGTCAGTTGGGCCTTTCTCTCTGGAGTTTTGAACATGAACTTACGTAAACTCTAAGGTCACCATGACAACTGCAGAGCTATAGCAGTGTGATCTTCCAACTTCCCCTTGGACCTCGAGGGAAAGGAGGTCCGAAGGGAACGGAACATGACAGTTCAATCCAATCTTTGCCCCACTTCTGGATTCCTGGGAAGAAGGACAACGTTAAATTCTCTGCAACGCAGACGAGATTAGGAGCCCCTAACTCGATGGCCAGGTTCTCTCTGAGAGCATATTGGTGACCACACTTTATTCTCTGAAGCTGACTTGGCTGATAAGTAACTCTTTTCTCTCAGGCAACCAATTTTGTCCTCTAGTCTTTGGTTAGATCGGAGTTTGTGCATCCATTCCAGCATTAAGACCTCCTCCCTCTGCTTTCAAAACCACCTCGCTCTACACCTACCCTACAGAGGTTCAAATCCCAGTGCTGGGCCATTTTTACAATTGTAAATGTTTGAAGTAGTCAGATCATCTCTCTATGCTATCTTCCCTTATCTGTAAAAGGTACCTCACAAACTTATTCCAAGGATAAAAATCAGATAGTGTGTGTAAAGCTTTTCCCACTGAACCTGGCATGTGGTAAGAACTCAATACGTGTTCGATTTCTGTTTCTCACAGGATGGGCCTAGATGGACTAGATCATTCCTAAAATCCCATCCAGACTCACGTGCCTCTTGGGATTTCAACAAGAATATTTTTTTCTCTCATCTACCAAAATATTAAGGTCAAATGGAAGTCCCAGCTTTTACTAATTAAAATAGATGATGTAATTCAGAAAGCAGAATGGCATTCCTCCTGCCCAAATGTTCTCACATCTGGCTCTCCTATTCGCTTTCTCCTCGTTTTGGGATTGGGAAAGTAGAATGTCAAGTAAAGACTTAGGTTGTCCTTAAGAAATTTAATGGTGGTCATGAATGAGACGGTGTTTTAAGCTGGCACATTGCTCTTTGAGTTTCTGATTTCAGGAATAGAGAACATGAAAGCCGAACATCTAAACAGAGTTTACCCAATCCTCAATATATTTTTTTCTTTCAGAGCCCAGCCATACAAGTAACCACGTAGATGTTATTGATGGTAAATTCTTACTCCTTCTCCATAGAAGACATTTCTGGATCATTGTAAAGGCAGCTAGTTCTGAGTGCAAGGAAAAAAACAGGAAGCAGTGAACATTTTCTCCACTGTTAGCAGTTAGTAAGCAAGACAGATTTGAGCATTTCAAACTGTTTACTGTGGCCCCATTGCTAATGCTGAGCAAATCCACGCCTGAACAGATGAGATTAAGCCATGATTCTTTTACTATCAGTTTTGAAACATAACAATTGCCCATGATCTAGAAACATGAAAGGAAGATTGAAAACTTCAAATGCCTCCAGTGGTGTCTTCTTTCCTTGTCATTTTTTCCTAACTTTTCAATCTAACTTATTCAGGGAATATAACATTGCAAGTTTTTACTTGTAACTCAAATCATATATTTTATACACAAAGGACAGTCCCTCTCAAGCACCTAATTTTATTTACATGTGAACACAGTTAACTTTCTGTCTTCAGAAGAATGAGTATTTTCGAAGACACCAAAACGAAAAATGCCAGTGTCAGCTTTCCTTGTTGTTGTGATTGTTATTACAGAAAAATAACGGGACACTTACGACCCTACAGCTGAGCTGCGTTCAGGTAACACAAATGAACCCCAACATTAACCTAAACTAAATGTGTTCAAAAAGAAAAATGTACCCATATAAAATAATGAAATAAAAGTGGTGTTATGGTGTATGAATGTGTTTACGCTTTCCGTGTAATATGAGCTGCTTTTGATAATCCATGTTGCGGGGATTCCTCTGTTGGCAAATTTCAGATTTGCTTTATATTAATTTCTGATTAATACTTAGTATATTTCAACTTTTACTTTTTCCCCTCTGGTAAATATTTCACTGACACACAAACAGCAAAGGGAGTCTATGATCCTTTTTACATGCGAGAGTTCCCTTTGTGACGTGAATAATTTCACAAGCTTGTGTATCTGTTTGCACATAAGAGGTTCAGTTATTAACGTTTGGCATTTTGCTGAGCAGAGGGCTTTTTCGCCCTCTCTCCCCACCCTTCTTGCTGGTGGTCTGGTATTTTAATGGAGGATAATTGGCAACTCTAGTGAACAAGGACAGTCAGGCAAGTGTTGACAGTGTGCTAGAAAAACCTAGCTAAGCTGGAATGCAATCAACACAGGGCAATCTTCCAAACTTTTTCTGCTTTTTAACTTTGCATAATCCTTCCAAAGAAAACAACAATTTGCAGCCCATTTAATACTGTCACTCCAAAGGCCACAGATGGGTTTTTCACCATCTTCAAAATAGGAATGGCTCTCTAGACACAATTTATCCTTCGAAAGTTTTTTTTTCTTTTCTGTATAGATGTAAAGTTGTAATGAAAAAATAAGGCAGGCTGAGAAAATCACCTGAAAGTCAATCAGAGGTGGTGGTGGTGGTGTGTGTATGTGGGGAGAGATGTTCAAAAACACTAATGGGAATAAAGCAAAACAGGAGACAGGAAGGTTTTGTTCCCTGGCAACGTGTATGTTTGCCTTTGGTCAGAACCAGCCTCCAGCTTTCTTTTTTTTTTTGAGGAAGATTAGCCCTGAGCTAACTACTGCTAATCTTCCCCTTTTTGCTGAGGAAGACTCACCCTGAGCTAACATCCGTGCCCATCTTCCTCTAGTTTATACGTGGGACGCCTACCACAGCATGGCTTTTGCCAAGCGGTGCCACGTCCGCACCTGGGATTCGAACTGGCAAACCTGGGGCAGCCGAGAAGCTGAATGTGTGAACTTAACCGCTGCGCCACCAGGCCGGCCCCCTCCAGCTTTCTGATATAGGTCATGTGGAAAGTCAGGGAGCACCTTGTAACAGAAAGAACCTGGGTTATCTCGCTTCTAGAATCTAACCATAGATCTGCAGGGATCATATTTTCTGAACCAAAATCATCATATACAGTCTGCATGAGGATTTGGGGGCCAGCTCAGGGGCTGAAGGGTAGTTGAGAAGATGTAGTTAGTGTGCTAAAATGGGAGGATTTGGAGGCATTTCAATCATCTGTGGGGTCAACGTAGTAAAACTCTTTCTCCCTACACGTTTTCAAATGTGCAGATGTATTTCAATTCCTCGTACACGTAACGTCCCCATTGAAAGGAGTAGGATCAGTTGGAGGAGAATTCAGATAGGTGGCTTCCTCATTGAATCCAGAGCAAGGGCATAGACTCCTAAGACAAATCAAATTATTTTTATTCAGCCATTTACTTAAGGTGGTGATACTCCAATCATGGCCCTGAGATAGATGGGCAGCATCGGCATCACCGGGAACTTGTTAGAAATACAGATTCTCAGGCTTCCTGCATCAGAACCTTGGACGGGGGAGGCCCAGGATACTGTCTTTTAACAAGGGCTCCAGGTGATTCTGATGCACAGTAAAGTTTGAGAACCACTGTTCCACAGCAATGATCTCAATCTTATGCACATTCATCAATTTATGCAGCAGAAATCTACTGAGCAACTACTATGTACTAGGCATGAGCTTAGTGCCTCCTGTAGAGAGGAGATCAAGACTTCTCAGGACCACCTGAGACCATTTAGTTATGGGGGGTGTGCATGTCTTGGGGCGGGGTAGGGAAGAGAACAAAATGAAGGATTTGAGAGAAAATAAAAAAAGCTACACAACTAAACCAAAAACGATAACTGTTTCACCACAGTAGCTAAGCAGGAAGAGTAGAAATATGGAGGGAAAAAAAGTCTACTGAAGGAGACAAAATTTTATGGTAATAACGAAGAAACATGGCAATATGACTTTATCATGGGTTTGGCTGGAAAATGATTGATGTTCCCTCCCCCCATCTTTTGGCTTGAAAACAGTTCCTTGGTTTCATAAATATGTTATCATCCTAAAAAAAAGAATCTGGAAGAGAAACCCACTGCTGTTTCTCTCTCTGGGGAATCTTGTGACACAGGCAATTTGAGTACAGAGAAATGCTAAAGAGCTTAGTGCCTCCATTATGCCAACATTCAGTTCCTTGATTCCTAATATCTTTCTCACTTCCACGACTTCTTGTTTGTAACAGTTGAATTAGAGACTAAGAAAATTCCGTTAGAGTAAAAATTTATATAATTTTGAGTATTCTTAGTCTAACTGGGTGTCAGTTATTTGAAAGAAAACTAGAGGATAGGAATATTGTAACAGTAAATTACACTAAAGCTAAACTTTCTAAAGCAAAGCTCTTTCCTTAAATTTTTAACTCCAAAGATCCACACTATAGGCAAATAATTCTATAGATTACATACAATAAAAATGCGCCATAGGGAAAAAATATCTAAATGGATTGTTTTCATCGGGAATTGGTATTTACATCTATGCAAAAAAAAAATTTCACTAATTTAGATCTTATTTATTCAGAATTTGTAGGTCTTTGGACATTGTCCAGGCTTTCTGCTTTTGTGCTATCTATTAAAATGGGAACTGGTTATAAAAATTCACAGTGTAAGCAATATTTGAAATGGAGAACAGCTCAATACAGTAAACATTCCAGATAGCACTTGTCTACATTTAACATATAATGTCAGAAAAAATTATTTATAACTTGGAAATAAGAAAAGGAAATTACAGGATGTTCTTTCAAAGCAGTGCTGAGTTGAATTTCCATGGATGGGCTATTTTGCAACTCTGTAGGGACAGAGGTTAGATTGTAGATTTTGTACATTTTTATTGAGCAGAGATGCAAATCATTTCTGTCCAGTTTAAAAGAAAACCCTGAGGTTAAATTTATCACCCTGTTGGACATTAATCAGTTTTGCATCTAAACCAACAATCTTTTTTTTTTTTGAGGAAGATTAGCCCTGAGCTAACTGCTGCCAATCCTCCTCTTTTTTTGCTGAGGAAGACTGGCCCTGAGCTAACATCTGTGCCCATCTTCCTCTACTTTATATGTGGGATGCCTACCACAGCATGGCTTGCCAAGAGGTGCCATGTCTTTACCCGGGATCCGAACCAGCGAACCCTGGGCCACTGAAGCGGAATGTGCGCACTTAACCGCTGCGCCAGCGGGCGGGCCCCAAAACCAACAATCTTATCCTAGCATTCCTTTACAAATTGCCTATAGGTATGTAGCTTCTCAAATGCTCTTTGAACAGGTTTTAATATCTTACCCGTTCCTTCATTAAATAATTAGTTGAATAAAATCATTGACATGTATTCATTTTATATTTACATTAAAGCTACGATTTTACCTTTTTGAAAATTATATTTTAACAATAGTGAGCAATGGTTTTTTTTCTGTTCATTCAAATAGCTCAGAAGGTGTTAGTTAAGCAATATTTCCAAGTCACTAAATAAGCTGTTTAAAAATATATTTGGAAAGTCATGAAATTGGTTCTACAAAAATATCCCAAATTTCGACTTGCCATCATTTCTCTCCATTAGTATGAATTAGTAAGGTTTTGTTGCTTCAATATATCTAACGATCATCTGGATGTTATATTATATATGGCAGTGACTGTGATGCGTTCTTTTGCCTAAAACTGCATGTACATTAAAAAAAAAAATTAAGCAGCAGTAATAAATGTATTCCTCCAGATAACCAAGATCATGGGGGAAAGTAGATTATAGTAGCATAACAGAAATTGCATCTATCATTGGGACAAAGCAAACTTTTAAAGGGCAGCATTATTTATCGGAATGCAAGAATAAAACACGAGGCATGCGGGTTCTCCCAATTCATTCCTGAAATGCAAGCCAACATCACGCCAGCGGCTGAATGAAAACCAAGTCTTACTTAGCTGCTTCGGATGCTTCCCTCAGTTCTTCATCCAGTCTGCATGAGCAAAAATTATCGGCGTAGAAAAGAAACAAAAAAGAAGCGAGCAGAGCGTGAGTCATCCAGCAAAGCAGCGCCAAACGTAAGTGGAGTGTATGTGCTTTTAAAACGGTCCTCTGGAGCACTGACGCATTCCTACCACTAAATATTGTGTCGTTTCCCCCCCCCATTCAGTGTTTATGGATGTTTACTTTGCAAATTCCTTCATAAAGGTAGATACAAAAGTTGCAAAGAAATCAGAAACATGCCTGCTGAAGAAAGCTGAAAACATCCACATCAGTCTGTTGAGTACTGTTAGCTTGCAGCCTGGGCCAAGTCAGGGCTGTATCTGGTGTAGCAGGTTACAGGTGCAAATTAGGTTGACCTCAACAGCTTTACACACAGGACAAAGACCAGAAATGGTACACTCAAGGGACTAGTACAATGACCTCTTACTGGGTAGCATGTTGAGGTCACCCACGAGTAAGACACTGGTGGACACACACACAGGTGCCAGCGTGAACTGTGACATCAGGAGACTTTACCTCACACTCCTCTTATAAGATCTCTCTTCATCGTACCTTGCGAGATAAAAAACGAATGCAGTGAGGAAAACGAGCAAACAGATGGAAAAAATGGCAGGTAAATGTTTTAAAGAACTGTCAAAACATGAGAGAAAAAGCCTACCCAAGTTAGAATCAAAATGCCTTTTGGGAGAAATCTTATTTTCGTTAAGTATAATCAGTGATTTCGAATTTATAATAATCCACAGCCAATCCTCATTATTTGCGGATTCTGTGTTTGCGAATTCGCCTACTTGCCAACTTTTCTTTGTAACCTCCAAATCAATGTCTGTGGCACTTTCATGGCCACTTGCAGATGTTTGTAGAGTGGCAGAAAATTTGAGTCACCTGACATGCATGTCCCCAGCTGAGGTTAAACAAGGCGAGGCCCTGCTTTCTGGTTTTAGCTCCCATACTGTGAGCAAGGGTCCTTTTCATGTTCTATTTATTGCCACGTTTTTTGCATTTTTTGCGCTTTTCGTTGGTGATTTCACCACTCAAAATAGGCCCCCAGCAGAGAGCTGAAGAGCAGCCCTAAGCACAAGAAGGCCAGGATGTGCCTTAGAGAGAATATACGTGTGTTAGACAAGCTCTGTTTCAGCATAAGTTATAGTGCTGTTGGCTGTGAGTTCAATGTTAATGAATCAACAATTTATATCAACTAAGGTGTCTTTAAACAGAAACACGCATAAAACAAGGTTACATATTAATCTGTTGATGAAAATGTTGTGACCAGAGGCTTGCAGAAACCTAACACTGTATTATCCCTGGGAGCAATGGTTCAGTATTCTCTATTCATTGTTCTAGAACATCAAATAAGAAGAATGATTATAAATCTGACTCCAGATTGGACAAGTTTTTCCTTCATTTAAGCCCTTTGGTGACAGGCTCCATCCCAGCTGACAACTGGTCTTGAGATTGGCTGAGATCAGACCCTGTGAATGTTATTTGAGAATAGGAAGAAGCTACAGTGTGTACCAATTTGAAAATAGCATAATATGAAAATGAGGCAACGAGGGCCAGTAACAGAAATGACAGAGAGGACACTCAGAGGAGATGGATTACAAAAGATGGGAGAAAACATGGACACGTGAGGAGGACATGCACGGTTGTGAATTTCTTCCTCCAGAAGAAAATCCCTCTAAACGGAATCCGTACTCCTAAAGAAACTTTTCCCAAATGGAGCCCTTGAAAACTGATGTGTAGATGAATGAAAAGTGCCCAGGCATTTTTAACTTCTCAATTAAACTTTGCCATATGATAGTGAGTCTCTAAAAACAACATGATTATGATAGATAACGTTCTGGATCACCAGCTCTGTGCCAGGAGGCTTCCTGATAGCTTTATGCATGCTGTTCTCAATCAATCCTCCGGACCACTCCAGGAAGTGCTCCTTACTTTCCCATTTTATGGATGCTGAAGCTGAGACCCAGAGTGATAATAGGTTGCCTGAAGTCTCAGAGACATCGAGAGGCGGGCGAGAAGATGCAAATCTAATACTAAGCCTTTAAAGCCCATTCTCTTCTCTTCTCTTCTTCACTCTATTGCCTCCAACTGCCAAACCGTGGAAGCATTACCCTGTTTACCGAGAAAGTGGCCAATGCTTATGTGCACTTGAGGAGAGAATGTGTTTGTCACCTTTTGTAAAGAGAGATGGCACCATAGGAGGTGAGTGCTCAAGTCATTTTTTTATTTAAAGAGGAGTGGATTTTGGAGATGGGGTGCACCCTTTTGAGGCAGCAGGCCCCAGCTGTGAGGTGTGCTGGTTGTGGGAACTCTATGAAGCTAACAAGGATTAAAACCAGTGTTAGGAGCCTATGAACACTCTGCTTTGTTCAGCTGAGCCGACTGGCAGTTCTAAGCTCAGTCAGTGTCCTGTGTTCATGCCTGATATTGGCATGTAGGAACACTGAATGCATCTACTCCTGAGCTTTGAATTTCGATGGATACTTTAAGAGAGGTAAAGGAAACTACTCGAAAAGGACAGTGGACTTTTGGTGCCCGGTTGATCTGAATTCAAATTGTAGTATCATCTCTTCCTTGCTCCTACTTATACTTTGTGTAACTTCTCTTTACTAAGTTATCTTCTCTTATCTGTAGATGAGGGTTTACTGTGGGGATTAAATAAGTGATATTAACAGAGCACTTCCATGCCTAGTAACAGCATAGACACACACTAACTGAGAGTCCTCGCCGTCCCGTTTCTGTGCCTTTTTCTTTTAAGTGAAGGGACCTTTTTTGAAAGCCCAAATTGGGAGGTCCATTTTGCTATCCATCTTATGGAGGAAGGTGGGGTGTTCTTGCCTGTTTTCTGGGAGCTGATGGTTACGTTCCTCTCAATTCTAAGCAAATAGAAAACCAGTCAATCGGACACAGTGAAGGATAAACATGATCTACAGGAAACTATGGTTCTTTGCAACAATGAACCAAATAGGAGGGTTCATTCTCCAGAATCCATATCATATCCAGTATCCAGTGTCTCCAGTATGAAGTCTCAGCTCCAAGCGGTTGTTTAGTTAACTTTTACTCTTATTATTTTTGCTGCATAATCCTGTGACCTTCATTATCCATGCTTTCTCTGTACAGGCTGCTGCTGCATTACCCTGTACTGAGTAAGGAAATCCTCCTAACGACACCACCCACCTCTCTGCCTTATCTTTCACCAGAAGCAAACCATGAAGACAAAGGATTTAGAAAAAAAACAGAGAAAAGGTAATTTTTTTTTCTCTTTGTAGGGTCATGCAGATAAATTACTTTTATAAGGCAATAAAGAAATCCAAGCTATGCTCAGACCTACTGTATCTGTGTGGGTGGGAGACAGAAGTAACAGATATACTGATTAATGTAAATTTACGCTTTCTCCAAAACAGTAGTAAAATTCAAGGTGAAATTAGCAATAATCCATAATCCGAAGAGAAGATTATGTGAAAGAGGATATGAAAGAACAGAATAGTTATCTATAGCTTATATGAAAAAAATATGTATTTATTGGAGAATATTTAATATGTTTTAAATATAAGATAATGCCATTTCCCCACTATTCCAGAAATGATTTCTTTTCCAATCTCCTTCTCCAAACATGCAATGTTTCTCACCAAATCTTCAAAACCGTCAGGACTTACTTGATGATGCTCTCTGGAATATGGATGCAATCCATTGGGATCAGCCCACTGAGTTCTGATAAGCTACTGACATATTTAATTTTACTGCTGAATTTTGAACTAAAAAAAAGAAGAAAAGAAAAATATCATTTGTCGCTCCTTCATCCCTCCTAAGGCTGCTGCCTCCTGTTGACAATCCTGATGCACTTAACACTTGTCCCAGTGCTCTTACTAAGAAGAAAGGCCACATTATTTGTGTAGTTGGTATGTGCCACACACTGTTTGAAGTGGTTGATATATATTAACTCATTTATTTCTTATTATAGCCAAATAAGGCAGGTACTATTATCATTCTATCTTTAAAGATAAGGAAACTCGAGACACAGGGAGTTAAGTATTTGCCCAAGGTCTCACCTTCAGTAAGTGGCAGAGCCTGGATTTAAGTCTCATTGCAGAGTCCACACTCTTGACGGCATGTCACAGGACTCCCAGTGACCCCTGCCGCCCTGAATAGTCCCTGGCTTACGGTTGGTTCGGCTTTGTTGGCTTGTTTATTTGTTTTTAACAAACAAAATTCTTATCATTAATTCTTTCAGAATCTACCAAGGTTGATATATTTTACAAGCATACGTAAACTCATTTTCCTTTTATTTTTTTAGTTTTCGTTTTATTTTAAATATTAGTTGTTTTTTTTTAAGTTTTAGTTTGAGAGTTCATTCCAGATGGACCAATGTTCAAAACCATGTTCCAATGATTGGATTTGGATTACAAATGGCTTTCATCTAAACGCCATCATTTTAGACACGTAAATGCATAAAAAACAACTTAGAAGGATGCCACTGAAACTGATAAAGGACCTTGGCTCCGGGGAAGGGGGTTAGGAACAAGAATTGGCAGTCATTGAAGAAAGATCTTGGTCTTATTGTAATGATTGGATGTTTTATAAGAAGAAGGCATTTCTGTATTATTGGTATAATTGCAAACTAATTTTAAAAATGTGTCATTCCACTTGAAACGGAACTTGATCGAGCAGTGAACTTTCTTCAATGGTTTCCAATGAAAAGGCCTCCCCAGTCGACTGGGATTGTGCTGAGCTGTCTGCCAACGATATCATCTTCTGTTCAACTACTGTGCATTCTAGTCGGAAGTTTTTTCAAGGCCATTTTTCTATCCATCTCTCTTTCACATTTTACTTGCAGTTTTGACCCTGGGCCACTGGCTGGGGCTTGTGAACAACCTTCGTCTCCATTTGGTCATTTCTAGCCTTTCCGATAAGTCTTGGGTGAACACATATTACCAACGATATGCTACATTAGGGCTCCTCTTTCCTGGGGAGTTTCTGAATTAATTTCAGGTTTTGTATATAATCCAGAGTGGGTGGAGCGAGAGGAAGGAAGAAGCCATGCAGGGGAGCCTCCAGCCCAGTGTTTCCTTCACTAGAATGTGCAGTTCTCCAAACTCGCCATGGCCTCTCCTTCTCAGTGCATCTATACCTGCTGTTTCCTCTACGTGGTTTTACCTAGCCAATCCTATTAGTCCTTCAAAACTCCCCTTGAAGGCTAATCCTTCTGGAAAGCCTGTCTTGACGCAGACTCTCAGCCTTCACTCTCCTGCTGTTACCCGCAAACTCACCCTCACCCCCAGTTCCCGCCACAGTGCTTCAGTTGAAGTCCACATTGTAATTGTTTACTTGTCTGCCCATGTCAGCTGCAGGGCTGTGAGCTCCTCAAGGAGAGCAACTGAGCTCTTTAATTTCTCATCTCAGTACCTACCCCAGTGCTTGGCATAGACAAATAATCCATTTTAAAAACGAATTTGCCATATACCTCTATCATGGGTGTTACCTTTTAGTGATCAAAAGACCTATATTTTAGTGACCTCTTTTTCTCACGTCTAAAAATTGTTACACTGATGTAGATTGATTCACAAGGAGTATCTTTTTATGTGATGAAACTGTAGAATGTAACGTTTAATACTTGAAAGGTGTGTTCTTTAAAATTGGGCAGACAGGGGAGCCGGCCCCGTGGCTGAGTGGTTAAGTTCGTGCACTCTGCTTCGGTGGCCCAGGGTTTTGCTGGTTCGGATCTTGGGCGCGGACATGGCACCGCTCATCAGGCCATGCTGAGGCGGTGTCCCACACAGCACAGCTAGCAGCACTCACAACTAGAATATACAACTATCTACTGGGGGGCTTTGGAGAGAAGAAGAAAAAAAAAAAAAGACTGGCAACAGATGTTAGCTCAGGTGCCAATCTAAATAAATAAATAAATAAAATAAAATAAAATGAGGCAGACAATTGGATTTAAACTCTGAGTCTATAATTTACTGGCTGTGTTACCCTAGACCTGGGGTTGGCAAACTATGGCCTGCGGGCCATAGCCAGCTTATTGACGGTTTTTTACAGTCCTCAAGCTAAGAATGGTCTTTACATTTTTTAAATGGTTGAAAAAAATATCAAAACAAGAACATGTTATGATGTAAAAATTTTTAAGAAATTCCATTTCAGTGCTCATAAATCAAGTTTTCTTGGTACACAGCCACACTTATTTGTTTATATATTGTCTATGGTGGCTTTTGCCCTACAAAGGCAGAATTGAGTAGTTGTGACAGACCAGATGGCTCACAAAACCTAAAATATTTACTCTTTGATTTCTTATGGAAGAGGTCTGCTGGCTCCCGCTTTAGACAATTTATTTGACCTCCCTGAGCCTCAGTTTCTTTCTTTCTTTTTTTTTTTTAAATGTGCAGGAAGAGTGTATACCAACATTTTATTATTTTATTTTTTTCTCCCGAAATCCCCCCAGTACATAGTTGTATATTTTAGTTGCGGGTCCTTCTAGTTGTGGCATGTGGGACGCCACCTCAGCATGGCCTGACGAGTGGTGTCATGTTCCCACCCAGGATTTGAACCAGCGAAACCCTGGGCTGCCGAAGCAGAGCACACGAACTTAACCACTCGGCCACAGGACCAGCCTCTAGAGTTTCTTTCCATATAATGAACATAGTAAACAGCACCTCCTTCAGAGGACTGTCGTTATGGTTAAATGAAATAATGCATGTAAGCACTCAATAAATGTAAGCCATTATTGTATGTAATTTACCACAACACTATTTGTTATAATTTTATGATTATTATTGTAATTATTCTTATCTTAAAACTCTCTTCAAGAAATAATGTTGAATTATAATCATTTTTCAATATTCTTACAGTAACAAATATTTTGTTATTTATCAAGAAGAAATATATTTTTTTATAAGGGCTGAATTATTAAACAAACATCAATATCAATGCTAATGTTTACTTTTTTACCCATTAAACTTTTTGTAAGCTCATCAGAGTATATTGATTCCTATTCCTTTGTCAAAGCATTGTCTGCTATTATTAAAATAAGTGGCTTTTTGTATACCTTAAATATTTCATATCATTTTTTAAAGCAATTTAAGATAGTATGGTAAAGAGCTAACCTTTGTCAGAGGAAAATTAGATTGAATCTTGCTACTCAATTGTTGGAAGTAGGGATGGGAATGCTAAATAAATATAAATGAACACTGAACAAAAAAAGTAGAATTTGGAAGGCATAGTAAAACCTATGTAAAAAAATATAAAGAATTTTAACGTGGAATATTTTTTACAGAAGCAGAGTTATCAGAATCTTTCTTAGGGATTCATTAATAACTTTGAGACAGAAAAATTTCAATTTACCTAAACCGTATTGTAATGTTAGGCAAGACTTTATTCTATTATATTTTTAAAGCTCTCTAGAAAATACATACTGTCCCTTTCATTTAACTGTTTCAAGTCTTACTATATTATGAGGTATATCCTTCTTTTCTTTACATTCCTCAAATGTAAGGTTACACCCCACCTAACGCAGAAGGAATGATGAATAAACATTCACTGAATTGAACTGAACTGAAACCAAGAATTCTCACAGATGATCAAACGAAGCTCTCAAAATGGCTGCCCAGACTCTACCTAACTTTGGTGACCTACCTGATGCTTCTTCGGAAGAAACAGAACAATTAAAACAAGACATGGCTCCTGTTTCTGTCTTGGTTTGTCTTTAGTTTCCGTTGTCATATTACCCTACCTTTTCTACTCTCTACAAAATACCATATCACTTTGAAAGCACTGTCTATTCCCTTTTGTAATGTGGCATGGAAACCCCACCATTTTATCTTCTGTTTATAGCAAGCAATTTAGAGGTCATGTTTTATAACAATGAAGGAAAAAATATTCATTATGAAATAATGCTCTTTCTTAATCAGGGTCTCTCTCTGGACAGTCCAAAGTATATTTCTAGGAAAGGCAGAGGCAAAATATATTTTCCTATGTACTCTCTTAGTTTATGAATTCTTATTTATAGGACAATGAATACATGTTTTTAAAAACTACTGGTAGTACTTTTATTTTTACTGCAATAATAACCATACCTTATAAAAGGTCGTGTTACTGCAAGGATTGTTCTGATGAACCAAGATGGGTGAACAATGATGAATGACTTCAAATTCTTCCGCAGTCTATTTTGAAAAAAGAAAAAAAATTACTCATAACCCATTTTCAGTGGAAATTAAAACAGAAAGTACATCCCTGAATAGGAATATATATAATATTACAGATTCTAGGCAAGTTACTAATATCTGATGAAGGTATACAATGGCCATGATTAATAAAAAGAACACTTGTTGAGATATAATTTTAAATTTGTATGATTCAAAGCTCATTTTCCCATAGGAATAAATATAAAATAGAATGGTTATGTTCCTGGAGTGAATAAATCTATAACCATCATGGCATATTTTTGTCAGCATTATCTTTACAATTTTGAAAAGAATACACTCTAGGGCCAGCCCGGTGGCGCAGTGGTTAAGTGCGCACGTTCTGCTTCGGCGGCCAAGGGTTTGCTGGTTCGGACGCCAGGTGCAGACATGGCACCGATTGGCACGCCATGCTGTGGTAGGCATCCCACATATAAAGTAGAGGAAGATGGGCACAGATGTTAGCTCAGGGCCAGTCTTCCTCAGCAGAGGGAGGAGGATTGGCAGCAGATGTTAGCTCAGGGCTAATCTTGCTTAAAAAAAAACACAACTGTTATGGATGGAAGTGAAGCATCTTGAGGAAGGGGCACACAGAGGATCTGTTTGGTCCTCTTTAGCTCTTTTTAGACTAGTGGTGGACTTGAATTAACAGTGAATGTTGAAATAAGAGCACAAGAGTTGTCCAAATCATGAGAGTCCCAGGGCATACAAACAGCGTCAAGACCACGTGATATCAGTAAAGAATCAGGGACACTTTGACTTATCAGCTCAACTTGCAGTTCCATGTGGCAGTAGCACGTGCACAGCTTAAAATAAACTTGGTCACCAGGTTTGAGACTACAACATTTAACAAAATCTAGGGACGATTTGCTTTATTTCAGATTTGGGGCAAGTGACACTTTGATTAATATTTTTATAATTTATCATCTCAACTCTGCCTAATTCAATGTTCCTAAATTGTGATCACATTTTTGGTAGATCAAAAGGGAATCAGAACTGGGGGCTGTTGAGGAAGTCAAAAGAGTGATTAAATAATGGCGCTCACATACCGTCTGTCAATCATCTGGTAGCATTTCTTCATCCAGCCCAGGCCTGGCATCTTCCGTCTTGGGGTGGCACCATTCAAGTATACAATCATATAGTCTTCAGCAACCATCAGCTCTAAAGTACTTATTACGTATCTGATCACAGGAAGGAAGAGGAGTGCTTTCAGTTCCCACAGGAAATAGTTCATCCTATTTACACCATAATTATATAATATTTAAATTACAGGGTGTATGACATTTAAGAATGGTTATGCATATTACCTCTTCACCTTGAGAAGAATGCAGTTAGTTACCTGAGATCATTTCTCTGACAGTGAGTACTGCTCATTTATTTGTACCATTATCTTTTTTTTTTTTTAATGCAGGTACACTAGAAAAATGTGTGGGTTTGCAACCTGACTTTCAGAAACGTCAAGGATGTTATCATGTACTAAGGGCAACCCCGAGTAAACAAGGGCAGATATAAATCAAGTTATCACCAGTTGACTAAGAACACGTTATTGAGGAACAAAAATAACACTTCGCCTAAAGGAAATGCTACAGAATTTAAAAATGCAGACTGAACCGTGTTCATTTTGTTTTTAATCCACCCTACTGACGAAAGAGCTCCATTCGAGGTTTAGTCTCTTGAGCAATGTTCCTTGACAAAGATTTCATTGACTTTTTATCAAAGGCTTAGAATCTTCTACATCATCTATTTCCTTTTATTAAAGATGCTCTATCTGCCATTACATGCCCACAGACATTAACTCAAAGGACTTTGTCATAAAGATCACTCACAGGAAAAGATTTTCCATGACATAGTGGTAATCCGCCCGACTGCTGTCTGGCAGAAAACAGGCGGCAAACACAATGATGGCATTTAGGCCGTCCCCATAGTATCCTGGGCGACAAACAAAAAGACATTTGTAACCAATTGAAAGCTCTTAACAAGATAATATTTAACCTAAAGGATAAATGTGGAAGCCTTCGCAAGTATGTGTATGTGGATGTAACAGATATATCTTTAAATGAGTATTATATAGACTATACTTCTGTAAGTATACACACATGTAACTGTCAGTGGTTAACATACGTTATATAGTCTTAAATATATAGTGTGAATACCTTTGCATATATAGAGTATCCGTATATTATGGACAATTACATGTGTTGTACATAGTCATGAATGGGGTGTAGAAATCTTCAACCTATCAAAGGATGAGGGCAACACTTTCTGATTTATGAATTTCTAATTTATATAATAAAAGAGCTATTTATATAATACTTTTTTCTTTTAATGGCTAAGGAAGAGGATCTGTCTGATCCTCTTTAGCTCTTTTTAGTTTTAACCCAGTTCATTTGAAGGGAAGATTCAGTCACTGAACTGCAATACAATCTCACACGCACACACTCCAGTGACCAGACACTAGTCCGGAGACAAGTCAAACACTTTCACTTTGATTTCGAGGACTGATACGCTTGCCTGCAGTGTCCCTGGGATCTCCAGATTCAACAGACAGTGCAGGAATGTGTGGAAAGTCCTAGTCAGGGCTAGAATAACTGAGCACAGAATTCAGAGCCTAGTTCTTAAAAAGGGGACAAACTTAAGAAGGGTCTGGCCTTTGCTTTGAGTTTTATGAAAATATGTGCTTTTCGGAAAACTTGAGAATTATTTCCTGGTAACATGGGTGAGGGGCAGAAGTCCTTTTTGCAGGCGGTGGGGAGAAAATAGGAGGTAGGAGATACGGGCAAGTGTGGCCATTGAAACTCCAAGGGTCAAGGAAAATGCAGAGGCATCTCAAGACATTGTACCCACTTTTGCAAGCTCTGCTCCATCCTTTAAGCAAGCTCTGTGTTCCTTTAGAGCTCATCTTTGAAATTCACGGCAGGTGTTGATCACATCCCCACAGGTTTGTGTATGGAATCCAATGTGTCTTCCAGACTCGAGAATAGAAGCAATGCACTGTATTTTCATTTTTTAAAATCCCCTTTCAAACACTCGCAGTTTTGGTCATATAACATAGTTCTGGACTTCAGCATCATTAAACAGAGATTTCTTCAAAGCTTTTGAGTAGGAGGACAGAACACACCCTCCAGCATGATCCAGCCCTCTTGGAACTCAGCGTGTTTCATTTTTTCAGAACTCTAAATACCCCTGTGGTGATTACACGGCAGTAAACTACCGGCTGGATATAGATTTGAAGGGGCTTAACTCTTGAAAAGCAGTTTAATAAGATGTTCTCTACAAAGACAAAGAGTGTGACTCTACCACAAAAGAAGTGAGGAAAGAGAGTGATACCAACTAAAAATATACCAAATTATGGGTTTGTGTGCATTACTAATTTGAGGCTGTTGTATACCGTGTTTATGCTACATATCTTAGAAGATGCTACCTATGTAAGTATACACCTGATGGAACACACGTTCATGAAACAGGATTGCAGTAGCTTCCCTCTGGATATTTTGCCTTAGTTCCATCTTTTCCAAGACGTGGGTATTTACCAACTTCTTTTTAGAAGGCGATATGAAGGAAAACGGCAGAAGGAGATATATTTTAATACAAGAAGTAACAGTTCCACTGAACAATTTCATTTAAGAAGATTCATAACTGAATAGGAGTCCACAAAAGATATGGTAGCTCAGCTACACTAATCTTACACCACTAAGGTACGTTAATTCAGACTCAGCACAATGAAAAAGACCGAGTTCATGAAAAGAGACAATAGACATCAAGAATCCAACTTAAAAGCAAGTACGAAAGCATCCTTTCAAAAGCATCTTTCTAAATGCAGCTGTCTGGCTCCAGGGTGTCGGGGTAATTTCAAGAATATGACTGCTCAGTTACTTTGATGTCTTTTTCTATTTCTGGAGGATTTCTAAGAATTTTTTTTTAAAAAAAGGAAAGACTGAGTTTTATAAACAGCGCTTCAGAAGTCATCTGAAATGGCAGCTCAGCTCTTTGTGTCAATGCTGTCTGTCCTCAGAAAGTTCAGCCGTGTGTTCACTAGAGCTCATTTAACCAAAGGAATACTTAGGGATCAGCTTTCCACTTTCTGATCATTGTCTAAGTCATCTAAGGGATGTCTTTTTATATAAAAATTACTGAAATCTACAAATGAAGATGGCTTTTGTATTTTGGGCAGAGACACTGTAGGAATGGAATAAGAGGCAACAGAGGAAGAGAATAGGAGAGGAGGGCATGGAAGACGTAAGGAATGAACTAGACGACAAGGATTTCCTCATGAAAGTTTTCCTTCTAAATCAAGAGCCGGTGCCACTGCTATCAGACTTTGGGCAAATTTCAAGTAGCAACTGCTGGCAAAGTACAATAACTAGAATGAGTAGGACTAGTCGCTTTTTGTCCCTTGCAGATCCCTTCAAAGGCGTCAGCTAACCCAATTTCTATTCTAAATATGCAGCTTCCTCAAGTGAAACTGCCTGTCAGCAACTGCATGGTTCGTTTGAAGTTTGATTTTTTATAATATGTATTTTATTAGATAACCGTGAGGTGAATCCGGGGTCTGTGTACTGAGGTCCAGGAGCCATCCCACCGTGGTGCCTCCTGAGACCCTCTTAAGCGATGATCAAACCTTACCTGAGGCAGAACAGAGAGGCATGAAAGGGACGGACGTAACACATGTTTGCTGGCCAGCAAATGGGATGGAGGGACAAGGAAAGATGTCACAGTCGCAACCAAAACATACACACACACACACCAGCCTGCAACGCTTCTCCTCATTCTTTGCAGGATCATTTGTCCAGCAACACTGCCGAGAAGTTACCTGAGTCTCCTATAATGAAATAAGAGAAGTAAAAAAACAGAAAAGAAACTCCTCGTTACAATGCTTCGGCGTGACTGTCCTTGGTTCTTTAAATGTGTTCTCTGCTTCAAATTCAAAATAGCCAGTTCTGGCCTCAATGTGATCCCACAATGTTGGCTGATCCAAACCACCCACTCTTTGCTTTTCTATTGAAGCAGATGGTAGGGATATTGCTCGTGGGCTCATAGGAGGTGACGCTAGCTTTGAGATCACCCTCTTTTGACTGATGTAATTGAGGCCCAGAGAAGTTAAGTGACGTGGCAAAGACGGGTCTTGAATCCTGTCCTTCTAGATCGAGTACAGGGCCTCTGGCAATAGCTCCTATCGAGGTTGCCAAAGCTGACAATTGAGTTATTTGTTCCAATACTGCTGTCATGCACTGGTATTCCCAACTAGCATGGACACTTGGCAGGGCCTGGTTTTGTGGTGACTTAGGCAGCTCTTTTCATCACCCCAGATTCTGCAGTTGTATTGCACAGAGTGCCGCACAGCTGGCACTCTGCTACTGGCCTGAATGGGAAAACTTCCTCATAGCAAAATGCAAGACACCAAAAGAAGATCCATGTTCACTGTGGGTACTGCTTTTTAAATGCTCATCAGAAGCCAGGATGACAAACTCAATAGATTGGTAACTAAGGAGTATTGTTTTATCCTCATTAAGGTCTAAGAAAGTGGTGTGAGCTTCCAACACAATAAGCAAGGCTTTGGCCAATTCAGAAGTACCATGTGAACTGTCTTTACCTGCAGAGCACAAAAGCTGTTCATGGTGGAGAAAGAGGTGACATCTCGCTAACGTTCTGATGGGTGCAGCCAGAGGCACATCATGCAGGCCAGTGCCTGGAGAAGGCCGTGGCAGAGCCGGGGAGGGGGGAGGCCGCCTTCTCTTCCACACAAACAGGACAGTCACACGGACAAAAGCCGAGCTCATGACACAGAATGGAGGAAGCAGATGGCAAGGGGAGGAGGTGGCAGGGATGAAGGGCACAGCAAACCAGGTCATCCCTGAGGTGTCAGCTGAGTTTTCGAGAAGAATGTGACAGGCAGAAGCAGGGGCTTTTTAGGACCCGAGTGTGCTGATGACAATCACTGTTGCCTGGTTAGGGCAACAGCCAACGGGCTCAACCCACTCACCCAACCCCTCTAATTCACTGTGGTTGAAAGAACAAGCCAGTGAGTCTACTGGAGGAACGAGAGAAAATTCGGCCTTAGGATAGCAGCGAAGCAATAAGCTTGTCTTCTCCATAGCAAAGTGGCTCTTAATTTAAGACCTGAGTGGTGAAAATTTATAGAGATTATCTCTGGGTGACTTTGATTGACTTTGACAGACTTTTCTCCATTTCTTGGTACTTTTTAGAATGAGCACAGGTTACTTTTATAGTCAGCCTCTGTTTTGTTTTGTTTTGTTTTTATTTCCAAAAAAGCAAACAAAACCAAAAATACCTGCTGGGAGGACAAAGGAGGTCTGACCTTCTGGTAAGATCTGGATGATGGTCAGCTTGTGGTTTTCATCCTAAGAACAAAAGCACTGACTCTGTAGCCAGTTGACTGCCACCTTCAGCAAGATTAGGCCAGCTGTCACTCTGGGGGGTTGGAAACTGCCCCTACCCCACAGCAGCTACAATAGGGCCATATCACCCTCTCAGGTCAAAAGATAAGGCGGGAAAAAGGAAGGTCACGGCCAGGGGCACCTATGGACATTTTCCTTTACTATCACGGTTGGAGTCCCCGGGTGGTCCTGATCCTTCCGTGGAGGTAGCAATGCATGGGACGGAAGGAGGAAAGTCTGTTGGTGGAGGAAAGCTTGATTGAAAAAACAAGATGTCCTTGTGCTCGTTAGAAAACAAAAGCTATGGGTTTAATGTGGTGCCAAGACACTTATTTCCCTGTCTCTGTTAAGGAAGAGAGAACAACAATTGCCTTGTCAGCTTACACTTTTTCCAGAACAGCTGAGTGGTCAGGGTGTTGCCCCAGGACTGCAGGAAAGGAGCGCATGCAGCAGAAAAATCAAAAAGGCGTTGACGTGCTCAGAGCTTGACAATGTTAAATGTGTTGCTTATGCTCATGTGACCTTTTGTGAATCCCAAATTAATCAAGGCTCCTGGAGCTCCAAGAAAGCACTGGCAACAGAAAACACAGCTCTCCCTCCCCCTTGTCCCTCACTAGGCAGGCGGAGGCTTTGGCTGGAACTGGCTGTCATCAGGCATAGATATAATGGAGTTTATAGAAAAGCACTCTTCAGGTGGGGAAAAAAATGACCAGGCTGAGTCTAAAAAGATTTCCTAAAGCTTCTGAAGAGAATTCAAAAGACTGTCTTATAATTAGAAGCACCTCTGGAATAGTGATCTTCCTATAGCCCACGGTAGTAGAGACTCGTAAACTATTCACTTAAACCGTACAACCGACCCATGTGAGTTCTGAACAGACGTTAAGTTGGACAACCATGGCTCTCAAGAAATTTGCACAGAAGGTTATAGCTATCAGATGTGTAGTGTGAAAAGCATTTTTCACATGGGAAAGTTACTTTTGCATAGTAGGCTTTCCAATGTTTATGGAATTGAGTATGAGGTGATGTGCTTAGCTCTACAGTCCCTTGAACATTGACTGCCCACTAGGGTCTTTGGGATGCCATGTTGCAGAGAACCCTAGTTTCACTTTCTAATAAAAAACTATGGCTACCCCATTCCCATCCCCATTCCCAGAGTCGCACAGAGCTTGACTACCTCCATGAGAAATGACTCTCCTGTAGGGCTCGATGACCTTCATGTCGATCCGCTGCTCTTGCTCTCCAATCACCACTGTCCTCCACAACCGGTTGTCCTCCCTCTCCTCTTCTGCTGTATATTCTGGAATAGACTCTGACTCTTGGCCAGAATCTTTGTTGGCTGTGGGATCCTCTGGAAATGAGCAGAGAGCAGAGCTGATGGAACAAGACCTCCACAGTTGAGACAGTTGAACAACTAGCGACCTCCTGGCAGAGTTAACCTGATGGAACTGCTTGTTTTGTATAACTTTTATAGAGCTTAATACCATCCTGACCACACAAAGGACATTCAGGCAAGTCTTATTTATTGACTGATTGAACAACCAAATCCATTGCTAAGGCCAAGCTGAGGGTGGGGATAGGTGCAGGGCTAGAGCTGTATTGTGTCAGTGGTGGTCCAAGGGGGTATAGGCTGGTATGAATTCATCCTTGATCATACAAATTGAAGACTGCAGGCCTTTCCGATGAAGTAAAAGGCTATTTATCAGGCCCAGATAATCTTGTTTTCCTGGGGCCACATGTCCTGTATATCCTGAGTGCTTAGAGTCTTTTGGGGGCCCTCCGCTTAGTAGATTGATGATACTGCCAACCCAGACCCCTGCTCTAAGACTCTTACAAAGGAGTTGAATCCCCTTACCCACTGGGACATCTGGACAAAAATTTGACATTACTTCCTATGGTTTTTCAAAATATGCTACAGAAAGATTTTACAGTAAGTGAGAAACAAATAACTTCGTAGACCAGAAATGCTCCAAGGTCAAACGTTCACAAGACTCCTATTTGTCGGTGCATAAGGCAATAGAAAAGCCCAGTGAGCATTCCTGAGGGAGAAATTTACCACTCACTCTTGTGTGTCCAAAAAAGCAACCACTTTGTTTTTAAAAAGAATCAGCAGCAACTGTTTCCATTTTTACTTCAAATACTAGTAGAGTTTAACAATAGTTATTCTTTGCATATTTAAGTAACTTGAAAGAAAAGATTATTTATAATTCTGTGAGATAATATCACTCTTATTTTTCCATTCATGGAAGATTACCTTTGAATTCCACTGTACTTTACTCATATTCTTTTTATGGCACTTTGATAATAACAATAGCGATACTTTATTAAGTACCTACCATGTATGAGGCACAGTAGTAGGTATTACAGGAGACATGATGCTGATGCAAAAACTAACTGGTGTAGTTACGTCAGATCACGGAGTTAGTAAGCAAATACAGTCAAACCCTTACCTTCTCTGCCCTTCCAGGCTGTCATATAGTACCTTGCATGTGTGACTGTCTCATTCTCGTTTATTTTATTATGAGGCTGTGAGTTCCTTGGACTAAGAACCTGCCTGAATCACCTTTAATATCCGCCTCCACCAACCCGCTCCACACTTAGCTTGGAAGCCTGCACAGAGCATTCAATAAAAATTCAGAGCTGAGTGAGGAAAGAAAGGAAAGCTTGGACAAGATCCCGGCAATACAGTTACTCTGTAAGGGAGCCACAACAAAGCCGTCGTTCCGGAAGATCCTGCAAGACATAGTCAAGTGTGTCTAATCACCTGTGACTTAGAATAGCAAAATGAAGACCAGTTGGGAAGCAATCCTAGCGTTTCTTGCCAACACCAACAGCTACCACCACCTACAGAGGCTTGCCTTACCATGGTTTCCTCTGCGTTCCCACCAGCGCTCACCACCTTACTAAGGATGGAGAGCAGCAACCTTTGGCTTCAGATCAAGCACTGCATCACTTGTGCACATCCATCCATCTGTACTGGACTCCCTATCTGGAATCCTTTCCTGCTTCTCCCTCCCTACTTGGGCTGGGGCCCTTGGATGCTCATCTTAGCTCCCTTCCCAGGACCCTGTTTTCCATCTGGTCTCTGCTCCCTCAGAACTCTGGGCTCTGATGTGGGTTTGTCTTCTGATGTTCCTGTACGCACGTGCTCTTCACTGCAACGAACTAACCATCCACCAAACTCTCTTCATTCTGTTTGGGACTTTCTGGCTTGCTCTAGCTTGACCCTGGTAATCTGTGTGAGGCTGTTTTGTCTTGTTTTCTGCATGCTTTTACTGAGGCTACCTCCTTAAAAAAAATTTGTATATTCTCTCTTCCGGTTTTAAAAACAATTTCTGAAATTGTTTTAAAATTGTTCATGAAATTGTACATGAGGACAGCACAATCGCCAGTGCCACCCTCACTCATTATTGTTTGACGTGATTCTTTTCTCTATATGCATGTGCACAGGCATACTTCTTTTTTCCCAAAAGAGTATGATTATTCCCTATGTTCTGCATGTTCTATACGTCTGTTCTACAATGTGACTCCTACCTAATAACATAGCACAGGCTTCTTTTTGTCTCAGTGAATATAAACCCTGCTCGTTTTTAGAAGCAGTCTTGGAGTATTCCATTTTACTGATGTCTTCTAGTTTATCAATCCCACAGTGATGGAAATATAGTTTTATCCCATTTTGCTGTTGCTCCTTATAAAGAATTTGCTTTAGTAAGTATCTTCGTACAAGCGTCTTACCTCGTTTGTGCACACATTGCTGTAGCTTAACTTTCTAGCAATGGAATGCTGGATCAGATGGTGCAAGCAGTTAAAGTTTTTATGGACATTTTGCCCTTGAATATATCACACCAAAATATATGAAAGAACCTCTTCCCTCATATTGTCAAAAACACTGGAAGTTACCAAAGTTCTCCCTTGACAATTTAGGGTGAAACGTGTTTCTTTGTTGTTGTTGTTGTTTTTTAATAAAGATTGGCACCTGAGCTAACAACATCTGTTGCTAATCTTTTTTTTTCTTCTTCTTCTTCTTCTCCCCAAAGCCCCCCGAGTACACAGTTGTATATTGTAGTTGTAGGTCCTTCTAGTTGTGGCATGTGGAAAGCTGCCTCAGCATGTCCTGATGAGCGGTGCCACGTCCATGCCCAGGATCCGAACCGGTGAAACCCTGGGTTGCTGAAGCAGAACACATGAACTTAACCACTCAGCCACGGGGCCGGCCCCTTCTTTGTTGTTTTAATTTGTATTTCTTTAATTATTAAAGAAGATGAGAATTTTTAAGTGTTTATGGGCTACTTATATTTCTCTTACTGAGAGGGAGGCACATGTTAAGTCCTTTGCCTACTGTGGTCCTTACTGAACTGTTAGAGTTCTTTATATAGAAGTTTGTCATGTATTGCAATTATTTTTCGGCCTCATGCTTAGCTCTTAAATTTGTAATTTTTTCCCAAATAGAAATATAACATTTTTGTATACTTGACTCTAATTTTTGTCTTTATGTTTATTGATTATTGTATCATAGTAAGAAAGGACACATCTACCTTAAAACTATGGATGTATACACACACACAAACATTTGCCGACCGTTTAATTTTTAAAAATAGATGACTTTGCTGAGATCTGAATTATAGTAAAAATAACTTTCCAATTGGTTTGGAAAGCAGAAATAAGTCATTGTTTTTTCTGACCTTTGGATATTTGTAAGTTTCTGGGCTTAGCATAAGGATAAGACATTTAAAAAAAGGCTCAGATCTCCCTTAATATGAAAGATGGACCTCCTAAATCCTTCACTATCTACAGATTTCTGGTATCTTTGGCACTTGTAAATATCAAAGGAAATCGAGACTTAATTATATCAATACCTTGAATGATATTTTCCAACTATCTGGACACAATTATTCAAGAAAATTGCTCAGAAGTAAAGAACAGTTTAACATCTTTTGATTGTGAGATTCAGAAATTTTCCATAAGCCAAATCACATTATGGGAAAATAACCCGGCAGGAAGGCTTGGTCATCAGCTACTTCATGAAACAGGTGAATGGTGTGAAAGTCCTCCGAGCCCTTGGTGAAGGGCCCTCAAGTCATGAAAATGGCTGGATGAAAGAACACGTCACTGTAAGGGCGGGCCGTCAAGCTTGGCTTCGGGGTACAGGAGCCTGATCTAGGAAAAGACCCTCTCCTGTTCATTGTCAATATATTTACAGAGAAGCACCAGGCCCAGGAGTAAGACAACAACTCAGGATTTGGATGCTGGCTCTGACAATACTCACTCTGTGACATTAGGTAAATTATTTAACTTCTCTGTGTCTCAGCATTCTCATCTTAAAATGGGGGAAACATAATATCTATTCACAGAGTTGACACGAGGATTAAAACAGTTAATATTTATAAAGCACCTAGCATGGATCCTGGCACGTAGGAAGCACTATGAAAGTGTTCATTAAATAAAATAAATTACCAACCAAACACTTGAAATACTGTGCCTTTAAAACTCCAATTTTGTTTAGAATGGATACGCTTAGTTCAAGATGCTCACACAAGAAGCCCAAAAAACATGCAGCTTTCAAGTATTTATTTCATACTTTGGGATTCAAACCTATTCCATCCCTCTTACACAGTCAGTTATCTATGTCTGCCTGTTTATAAAATATAACTATTGAGATGTACTTTGTGTTTTCAACGGTTAATGTTTTTGTTTGTTTAAAACTGTATGAACATATATCTTTCATTTGAAAATCAAGGTGGACTTTAAAATTCGAACTTAGGTTAAGATTCTGTCCTTAGAATTTGAGACCCAAAAGCAGGGTTGTGGCTGTTAAACTGGTTCTTTCAAAATAACTGTGTCGATTAAAGAAAAAGAACTATGTCAGCAAGTGGCAGCTTTAATTACCAGTTTGCTCAGCCACCACGACTTTGCTTGGCAGTTTTACTATTTATAAAAATAAAAGGTTCAGATGTGGTGTGACACAGCTCCCTGGGGCAACAGAGAAGTACAGGGGGAAGCGGGGAGGGACCAGCAGGGTCCTGCCACAGCCGTCTTCTGTGGGGTTTTAAGTCAAGGCATGATTCTTACATGTGAGAATATATTAGAAGGAAAAGGGCTGAGGCAGCTGGGGTGGATGGAGAAGCCGGCGAGGAGTCTCTGAGATAGTAGAAAAGAATACGACTTCAAGACCTTCTTTCATCTCCTATCTGCGTATTTCAACCTACAGGGTCAAATACCCAGATAACTATAGATATTCATGAACACGATAAAAATGGAATATAAACTCTACTTAAACACAATAAACAGTGGAACAAGTAGTTGAGCCACTTCCATCTTTTTAACTGGAGAAAATAAAGCCTTATGCCCTGTGAAGGCAGGGTCTGAATCGGTGCTGGTCGTGGTTGTAGTCCTGGTGCCTCAATGACCATTGGCTGAATTAATTAACTAATTTGATGAATTTCCTAATTTCCTAATTATGTCCTCCTGTGAATGACACTGCTGGAATTATCATGGCTCTAAAAGATAGGGCATCATTTAATTGTATTTCTTTTAAGCAATTTTAAGGAAAATTTAAAAACTTTTTTAAGAAAAATTGTTCAGAATGTTTTTAATTTTAAGAAGAACTTCTACAATATCGAAGCAATAGCTGCGGCCTTCAATTCTCTCACCTTCAATTTCAAATATGATAAAGTCAGATTCTTTCACCTTCAATTTCAAACAGGATAAAGTTAGACAAGGCCACCCTGTAAAACAGAAACTATAGATGCCAGTTTTTAAAGCAAATGTTTTGTATTTGTACATATTTCTTAACAAACCCAATTTCAATGAGCAGGAGAAAGTACTAAAATGACACTGAGAGGCCGCCCCATGGCAGAGTGGTTAAGTTCGCATGCTCTGCTTCGGCGGCCTGGGGTTTCGCCCGTTCGGATCCTGGGCGTGGACATGGCACCGTTCATCAAGCCATGCTGAGGCGGTGTCCCACATGCCACAACCAGAAGGACCCACAACTAAAAATACACAACTATGTACCAGGGGGATTTGGGGAGAAAAAGGAAAAATTAAAATGACACTGATATTCCTATCAGGAGTGTCAGTGTTTGATCCAGCAATTTTTAATTTTCTTCCTTTTTATTCCTTCCCCACCACACCCCACCCCACCCTGCCTTTCTTCCTACTTTATCGGAGATACAGCAACAAATTTAATCAAGTCCCTGCCCTTGGGGAGCAGACATTCCAGTGGGAAGAGAAAGATGATGCATGTTGCCAACAGTTAAATGATACAGTTTCAATTAGTGACATACGGAAAATAAAATGAACACTGTGATAGAGAGTGACTGAGCAGCAATGGCTATGTGTGACCTCTGGGAACCATACCTCTTCTATCAAGCTCTAGACTGTCAATCATCACTCCCTATGACCTGAGATACAAACAGAAACTTCTGGAAATCACAGAAAGGAGCCACCGGCAACAAAATGGAGGGTTTGTTCCTAATGCCACTTAGAAAATCTTTCACTTTTCATCTAGCTTTGGTCTTGCCAACTTGGCGACTTACCATGCCCAGTGTACTCAAAAGAATCTGCTTCATCAGGGGTATCGAGTTCATCCACATTGATATCAATCTCATCTGGACTGTCCAGGTTATCATCAGAGAGAACAGATCCTTCGCTTTGGTCCAGAGAAAGATTGATATTTGGGGCTGTGAGCTTGATTCTCTGAGGATGAGCGCCATTAAGATCCAGAGAATTAGGAGGTTCTAAAGAAGAAAAGCATTAGCAACATCAAGTATTAGACCACGGACAAGGCTGCCAAGAGTGAGTGGGGGCCCCAGCAAAAAACGTTTTTAAAGTCCTTTCAGCAAAAGCAGACCTGCTAAAAATCTTTATATGGGATTTGGACCCCCTTCTTGATCAGCAGGTCTCAGTACTGACTTGCCCAGCCCCATCAGCCCTGGCCATGTAGAAATAGGAAGTGGGAGTATTGCTAAATGGGCAGAAACTAGTTCTTAAAACTGCCCTATTCAAGTTTGAGAACCTGACACTGATTTAATATTGAATTGAATTTTTATGGTGCAAGTTGCATAAGAAAAACAGTTCAGCTTACATATATCTTATATGGTTCATGTAGATTTTGCCCCTGAGGGATGGAGGGTAAGAACCTTATCTGTTATGCTCACAGATACTCCCCAAATACTTCTCTTCAGTTCCTGACAACTCTGTGTATGATCTGCAGTGACCTTTCTTTGGCTGGCATTCTTCTTCTTTTTTTATTTTTTAATAAAACTGAGGTTTCCTCCCAGATTACATCCTTTGATCAAGCAGTCACTACCTCCTATGCCAATATTGCTTGACACAGTTTCCACACTATAAGAGTCTTCTTATGCTAAGCCTTGTGGAAGTAGGTTCCATCCTCTCACTGTAATATGCATCTTGCCTCTCACATGCCTTTCACTTGACAGAAACAGAGCTGGAGAAGTCATTTTTAACTATATTGAACCCAACTAAACAATGGCAGAGAGATAGCCTAAAAATAGAACTTTCCGGATTCCCTATCACGAAATATTTTGAAGGCCATCTGGTATACCCCTCAATTCTGGAATGTGAACTCTGGCCTTGTCCTAAGGAAGTTGACACTGTTTCTTTGTCATTAAGACTTTTTGGTTTTTTCTGTATAGAGCATCACTCAAACTGTTCTATGTAATGTTTTTAAGTATTACTTGGAAAAAGTTTCTATTGATCAATAAGTTTGAAAACCATTAGGTTTCTGTATTACAGAAATTCTCAGAGCAGTGCTGTCAGAAAGAATTTTTTATGATGATAGAAATATTCTACCTATGATTATGGAACACTTCAAATGAAGCTAGTGCAACTGAAGAACTGAACTTTTCAAATTTATTTTAAATTTTAATTAATTTAAATAGCCACATGTAGTGAACTGCTACCATTTAGGATAACCACAGCCTTAGTGCCTTTATTGTTCAAAAGTACACCTTGACAGACAGTGGCTACCATGCTTATTTGACCATAGAATATCTAAAAATAATATGTCACATGACTAGTATTTTGAAGAATGCACTTTAAATACTTGGACAGAAAAAAACATTAATTGATTCCCTTCTTCTTACTACCTTCTAGGCTTGGCTGCTAAAATCAGCGTTCAGGATCTTGGTGTGATCCTGAAGCTGGTACAGTGCAAAGGTACAAAATGGGAGTCATGTAGGTTGCAACTGAAAATTTAAAATTCCTTCTTGTATACAACATGGGTCATAAACCCTTAGAATGTAGGGTTGGTTTTTTTTTTTTTAATAATCAAGGTACTGAGCATTCTTATATCACATTTCTAATTTTAAACATTCTCACACTTAAGTGTAAATTTGGTGAAGTTAGATGTTAGTTAGAATTGGGTGTTATTGTACAGTAGCCAATTTTCACAGGAGCTGAAAACATCGGCAGATACAGCCATGGCCCAGGAGATAAAAGGTGGCCCACACTCCTGAGTATCAATCTTCAAGTCAACTCTGAAATTAACCACATCGAGCCTGACGCCTTCCTCACACATATTTTTTTCTCTGTATTCACTTTTATCACTGAAATCACAAGTTGGATGCGTAGGAAATGGTTCTCTCCCCGAATAATGAAGACGTTTGGATGTAGAGTACTGCTGAGGGAAAGAACAAATGCCGCTCTCACCGGGCCTCATGTCTGCAGCACCGGGACTCAGCATTCCCTCCTCAATGGGGATGTCCATTCCTACATCCTCTGACAGGAGTCTGAAAGAAAGCAAAGCAAAGAGGGTAAAAAATTAGGTGGGATCTACTTTTCTTTGAAAAGGAAACCCAGAGATTCCAGGATAACATTTTCAACTCACTGGGAGGAAGCCAAGTATGTATACCAAATCCATTGTAAGTGGCCCCAAATTAGAATGAAGACTTTCTGCAGTTACTGGGAACAAGAACCACGACGCCAATTTCACTCTGAGCCTCCAGCAAGTCACACCTACTAGCTCACATAAGCAAACACATGTCACGTAAAAAATACAGAAACAGGAAAAGCAAAGAGCTAATAAAATATACTTAAACAAGCATTTGATATATATTTTTTCAACAAGAGAAACAATATATGTGCTTTGGAGTAAAGACAGATCTGACTTTGCAGATATCTCTGCTGCGTAAATTTGAGCATAATGCTGTGGGCAGAGGAGAGCATACTCTGCTGGTCTCACTTTATTTGTAAAATAGGGATATACCACCTACCTCGCTGAGTTGTTGAAAGATAAAGCAATGAATGTAAAGTGCCTAACATTCCTGAGAAGGTACCAACTAATGCTATTTTCCTTCCTTCTTTCAATGTTTAAAGATTCATGGTGAATTATACGTTGATGAAGATGGTTCTGGTCATGAGTTACCATCTCTTCTCTCTAATCAGTGTCAAGCCCAAGACCGTTTCTATTAGCCCATTTGGGAAGACAAGGGTGGGAGAATAGGAAAATACTGGAGGAAACTGTGACAAATCTATATGCTCCTGTAGGAAGCTGACCACTGCTCACAGGGAATTCCCCTTGACTTATTTTATCTCCTGTCCCTTGTTCAGTAAATTCTCATTTATCATGATAACATATTTTTCTTCTTGTTGGCTTCCATGCAACTTCACTCATGTAGGGTGGATCGTTGAGATAGAGGCACTAATCTAAATTTAAACATGATAAACCTTTGTGTTAAAGTTCTAAGTTGAATCTCACCTTCCTTCTCTTATTGAGACTTCTCTCCACCTCAATCCGGGTCTACCAAACATTTCGAGTTTCCCTACCTGCGATCCAAGTCAATTTCTCCAGGATCTAAGTCAAAGCCCCCATTGTCAATAAAGCATTGTGATGAAAACAAAATTCTACCTCTCTAGTGACAACTGTACTTGCTTCATTTATTCAAAAATATGCATTGAGTGTCTACGACGTTCTATGTAATAGGAATAAAACGGACAGCCTCATTCTTGTGGTGGAGATGGGACGATGGGGTTAAATAATGATGACTATCACCAATAACTCCGTGCTGCTTCCCTGAGAGAAGTAAATGCCTGTGTCTTTTCCTGTCGACCCCACAGACCCTTTCAGAAACAAAACCCCAAGGAGTATCTTGTGGCTTCCACTCTGTATGTTCTTTAAAACGAATCATGCACCCTAGCAGAAAATCAGTGAGCAAGAGGTCCGCGTGTGAGTCAAAGGCAACAATGTATTGGCAGGAACAAGATAACCTGTGCCAAACCAAGACACCATGCTGGGTGGCAGCAAACCAAATTGTCCGGCCATAGAGGTGGGAGTGAAGAGCAAACAGAAGGCCTGCTCTAGGCCCCAGTTTTGAAAGTCCTGGGACCCAGAGGGATAGACTGCGGGTCTCCCTTGCTGATGTGGTTTTTCAGATTTACTTACAACGGTCCCTTGTCACCTGAAGTAATCTGGGTGTACTCCCCTTGACTCCCCTGCAGTACCTGCGAAGTAGCAAAATGCTGCTGTTAGGAGCAACGGGAGGGCCGGTCTCAGTGGCTCAGCGGTTCACACGTTCCGCTTCAGTGGCCCTGGGTTCGCTGGTTTGGACCGCTTGTCAAGCCACGCTGTGGCAGGCATCCCACATATAAAGTCGTGAAAGAAGGCCATGGATGTTAGCTCAGGGCCAGCCTTCCTCAGCAAAAAAGAGGAGGATTGGTGGTAGATGTTAGCTCAGGGCTAATCTTCCTCAAAAAAAAAAAAAGAGCAACTGGATTCAAATCTTAGCTCTATCACTTACTGTGTGTCATATGGCAAGTTATTTAATCTTTCTGTGCCTCAGTTTCCTCACCAAGAAAAGAGGGAGAATGTGCAATGCCTGAAAAAAACACTGAAAAAAAAGTTATCTATTAACATTGTAGTTCTTTTTGGCCATCTATTATAATTCCCTTCTCCATTAGCCTTGAAGCTTCCTAAGGACAGGAACCATGTCCGTCTTCTTTATTATCATGTCTTCAGCATTTGGTAGAAGTTAATACCCGATAACATGTGTTGGATTGAATTATTGAGCTTGAAATACCCTAAATGCACATATACATTATTTTCGCTAGTCCTCTGCCTACGAGTCAACCTAAAAGAAAAAAAACCACACTGTATCTCCACCTTCTTCACAGAGCACTTAAGGGTGGTGGCCTGAGCTCCAAATTATATACGAAGGGCTTTAAAATAGACAGTATCAGTCTTAACTTTTTGTAGGTTTTGTCAATGTTTGTAAGTTATAGGCACCACCCTGGGATCATTGAAAGAGCCCTAGATATGAGTTTATAGTCCTGGGTTATAGTTCTCCTATTAGTACTGACAAGCTGATTAATGCTGAGAAAACTGGGTCACCATCTTTGTGATTTTAAATGGAGTTAATAAATACCTAACGTCACAGTGATATACATGAAAGTACTCTGTAAATTATGAAGCATTGACTAAGTTTAAGGTATCACATTTCTTCATTTTAAATGTAATGTCAGGATCAGTGATTTAATTAAAGTATGTGTCATGGTTGGACAAAACATAATTAAGGTTACTGTGATTTGGGTATTAGCCCAGGCAAGGGAAAATTTCACTATTACAGAAATCTCCATAGAGCTTCTAAGTGCCCTGAACTCACTGACATTAGTGAATAGAGCCTTTGTTTTTCAGTACTCCTTCGCAACATAGAGCAGAGATTCTGTTAAGGAGGTGCTAGAAAGCCGGTGGTGGCATGCGTGGGGGAAGGGAAAAGTTGAAGGCTGTGATCAGGGTGTGATCAGAGGAGAGGGACTCTCACAAACCCATGGGTATTACAGAAAACCACGGGGATGTTTTAGGAAACCCCAGGGACAAGAAGAAAAGCTGAACCAGAATAGCCTAGAGGCAAACCTGGGAGAAACCCACGCTGCGCTTATTGTAAATACTTCAACCATACTCATATATTAGGTCCATAAATATCTGTAGAAGTGAAGTGGCCGAACAGAGTCATTGGCGACTGAGCAGGATGAAGTTTTACGGTCAGTAATGGAAGCCTCTCGGGATTGCTAGGTAACAAATCAGCCCAGCGTGAAGGTAAGTATTTTACTTTATCATCCGTAGTCACTACTTAATTTGGGGTTTTCTGTGTACAGAATGCGGCTACAAAGAGGCTGAGGGGGTTGTAAACACACATCTGACTCTACTATGGCCGACCTCCCAAACAGATGCTCAGCTCCACGTCTCCATCTAGAGGATGGATCCAGGACTGTTCATTTGCTGGATGGTTTTATAATCGTTATTGCTCTTCACCAAATATTTCTGGCTCTCAGCCTTTCGGGCACATGATAAAATTGTACTTTCCTCCCCTTCTTTGAACTTAGGGTGGCCACATGACTTGCTTTGACAAATGAAATGAGAGTGGAAGTGGCAGGTGTCACGTCCAGGCAGAAGACGCGGGAGGAAGTGCCTGGGGTGCCATGTGCTCTTCCTTGCCCTGGGGGCTGTGGAGGGGCTCTGGCAGCCTGTGGTCTAGCCACTGTGAGGAGCAGAGGCCCCTACTAAAGCTCGTTGGAGATGGGAACAAGAAAGGAATTTTCCTTGTGTTTTGCCCTGAGATGTTGAGTTTGTTACCACAACCTAATCTAGCCCACTCTGAGTAATACAGCTGGCCTTTATTGTTTGTTTTGAAGGGAATATTTGACTCATCCTATTCCCTAATTTGGGTAACCCATCCCTCATATTCTCAACCCAGGCTGGTGTTGACGGCACACATCTTCTTATCTGGGTGCTAAAGCACGAAAGAACGTTTTTAAAAATGAGGACAAAAGCTCAAAAGGGCATCGAATGCTTTCAAGTAGTCTATAAGCTTGAGTATTGATATACCACCTTTATGGTTTTTTATAGACATCTCACGCTTGTCAATTTACTGAATACTTTTCTTTAAACTGACCTATTTTAGTTAAGTAAATTTATTTTGAAAAGCAGGTTTGTATCATAGCATATATGGAAACTTAGAATCATTCGCCTAAACAGTCACATAATTTAAATATAATAAAAATAAGACAATGCTATTAAATTCAAGGTAGAAACTCCTGGGCTCTCGGGCTAAGACTTTCTTTCTTTTTGCTAGAAAAAAAGAGACTAGAAAGCGTCTGGCAAAGTGTAATGCCATGTAATCTTGTAAATACAAAGAAATCCTGTATAAGACAGAATACCCAAAAAGCGATTAATACATTTCCAAACTTGAAAGAAACCAAGGGAAACCCCCAGGTGCCAGAAATGCAGTTATTTGAGAAAGCTGATGAAAAGGTAGCCCACAGGGTTTTGGACTGGACATAGGCCTGAGGGCCCCACAGGAGAAGTGGCCTCCAGCGGCTGGCAAGGTTTAGACCTCAACTTCCAAATAAGGCCTTGGACCTGAAAGAACTGTCCCCTTCATGAAAAGGGGATGAGAACAAACTGTCCTCTGGCCTCGGGAAGCACAGTTTGCCTGGAATCTTGGGTGGAAAATAACAAGCAAGTTATGAGAATTAGAGACACTACCTGAATGCCAGGCATGTGTCAATTTATACTACCTGAGAGGTGCGGGAACTCAAGTCAAAGTGAAAATTCATCGAGGACCACTGAAGGCCTAGAGCCCTAGGGTTCCAGAAGAAACAAATGTGAATCCACTTGGTAGTGCTACTTTTACAATCTAGGATTCACTGGAAATCCACTCAGGAGAAAGAAAAAGCCCTATGAAAGAGGAGCTCACACCAAAACACCCACAAAACAACAAAAAAAACCCCAAAC